GATTCGTTAAAATGTATAACTATAATAACTTTGTAAAGTTAAAAGTGTCCGTGGTAAGTGAAGTAATAGGTATATCGGTATCTCCATAAACAGCAGATTACCAGCTCCATCTAAAGGAACATATGATCGTATGAAAAGTAATTTTTTGGATTCGCTGCAAGATTTTACTATGTGTTTATAATCTATATTGTTTGTCGAATTTTCAGAATAGTTTTTATCGAATTTAGGATTATTATGTTGCACTATTTATCATGAGACATGCCTATATAATACACATACCTATTACCTACCAGATGAAAGAACCACTGTTTATTATTTTTCCCATATTGAATGTCAGTACAAATGGTTTATATACTAGATATACCTGGTCAGTGTAAACTGTAAATACATTGCAGAAATCGGTAATAATATTTGATACTATACAATTTCTTACAAAGATTTATAAATAATACACGCCAAAATAAGGATGATTTAAAAATACAACAAACTATAATAACATGTATTTGCTAATTCATTAGCAGTCTGATTAGTTGTTATAATTACGGTTACTCATCCATAAAACAAATAGCGGATGTAAAGTTTTTAACATTTTTTTTTTTAGAACTTTAGTGGGTGTTGATTAATGCATGATCGTATAAAAATGTTTTTTTAACATATGTCTTGTTGGTTTGAATATAATATATTGATGGTATAATAATAAAAAATCCAGACGACACAAATTTGATAATTATTACTTAAATATAACAAATATAATAACTATATTATAGAATACGTGTTCAACACACAGTGTTAGTCTTAACGACTAATATGTATTAGGTATATGATATGTAAGTATACCTAAATGTATATTAGATTCGTTAATAATTACACATTTAATTAATTCACGACAAAACCGATACAGCACGGTCTTAGTGTCTCATTCTACTGACTCTCGACGTAATAAGTGACATATTATGCATGTTTTTTTTTTTACCGAGACTGCCATAAGTTGTAACCTATATAGCTATTGATTGTATATACAATATACGAGTACCTACGTATGTCCAATGCCTATACGAACGATCTACATCAGTACAAAGATATTATAAATACATGCATGGTAAATTCATTATTAGAATACTTTCGTTTATATTTTTCAAGAGTTTATCATAATATATTATGGGTACGGTCGATGGAAAAAGGACAAGAAAAATGTTCCAATCGTCCTTGAAGATTATGTGGCGCATATGCGGTTACATAATCGGGAAACCCAAGGCGCACATCCAATCGGTAATTGGTCCGAGCCAAATAATTGGATATCTTATTGTTGTTTACCCTTCCTCCCCGGTACCCAGAGCCCGATTTTCCAGCTGAACCGCTCCGACAATAACAATTGACCTGTAACCAAAATCTTTTCAAGTACGCATCGCCTAGGCATTGTTGCTACAAACTGTAGAACTAATAACAAAATAAATAACAATCGGATCTCATGTTATATTATTATGACTTGCGACGACGGAGACACAATATCTATAATAGATCGTTTCAGAAACGTTTCATCTTCCAGCCGGAAAATTAAAAAAATAATCCTATGACGCAGCTTAAGACGTATAATATATTATGTATGAAATATATTATTACATCACGTTAAATCGGTAACAAGCCTGACAACAATACAATGTAATTCTTTTTCATTTTAAATTATATAGTACCTATACACAGTAATTTCTAAAATATGGGTACTTAAGTTTTTTGGTTATATAGGGTTATATTGTGTAAATATTATAAAGGAACATAATAAAAAAAAAAATCCTAATGACAAATAATAACGACGACAATATTTAACAAAGAATTAATAATAAACTGTTAAATATTTTGATTTATCACAAATCATAAATAAATAATGTAATTATTGAATGAAGTACGTAAAATGAACAACTGATACTGCGAATGAGTGTATAGATTTGAAGCATAACAACACAAAATTAAATACAAATAGTTAGTTAAAATTTAAAAATAAAAGTTTTAGAATTTTTAAATAAATATTTTACTAATAACTTTTTAGTTTTTGAGTAAACCACCAATAATGTCAACAACTGTGGTATTCAGATATACAACAATAAAAATACCACTAAAATAGTACAATTGTCTATACGTGAATTATATTTCAATATTTGTTAGAATTCGGCTCGGCGTTATAGTATCATACAAGACATTTCATTTTGTACAAAAACTGTTACAATTTCATATAAGTAAACACCTACGTATATTTCTAAGAAAAAATCAACAATGAAAACAAGACAGTAATTTAAATATATTGAAATCTATTTTGTGAAAATAATAAACATCAATAATTTTTTTTTTTTAATTCTTGTGACTTATACACTGCTGTATATTACTGAGAGCGTAATCACTCGTTGTCTAAATCGAACACCGTACGTCTGCACTACTAGATCCTGGACAATATTGTAAAAATGTAATCCGTTATGTCTATAATTTAATGCTGTGGTATTAAGAATATAATATGGTGGAAATATTTGTATTTTTTAACAATACGTACGAAAATATCGAGACGGATGTCGAATAATTTAATATAGGTACTATTGTTGTGATTTGTAACCATACGATATGTCGATATATCGTTACCGATTTACAGACGATTTCATTTTCTATCGCAAACAATTTTTATTTACATTGAATTTTCCATTTGTTTGTTAAAATACATGAAACAGTACAGACGCAGCAGTAGGTACTACCTATATAGTTTATACAACAATATGCAGGTAGTATAGAATCCATCATCTTAGCCAGGAAAACAAATTAAGAGTAATTTTTCAGTAAGCTGAACACAATAATCATACTACAATCATTTACACAATGGAAAGTGGTGTGTTTGAAGGAAAACCGTTCCATTTTCACACTTTTGCTGTCGTCCTTTGTGTTTGAAATCGATTATCACACAGTTCGGAACAATCAGGCACTTAAGAGAAAAACGGTGCAAATCTTCCGGCCAGAAAAATGAATATTTGTTAACATTCAGTTTCGAGTCAAATAAGTAAAGCCGTACACATTAAATCAGTACCGTGAATATTTTGATTGCTAACATCCTCCCTCCTCTCGCATGTTTTTCTTTCATTATTTTAATTCCTAAAAATAGTTGCAGTAACGTACATAATATTAAAATATAATTCTAAATGTTCTAATTTATTTAAATTGTCTTGGTGTGATACCACATTGGTACCCTTGTTTAATAGACTATGCCTAATAGTGGTTTACTTAAATACGCCCAAGGTCTAATCGCTTATTATTCTTAAATTTTTGATTAACACATAAAATATATTATTTATTTATTGCAAATATTAAAGTACTGCAATTTGATTACCTTGAATATAATATGACATAACTAACAGCAATCTATAATGAAACATTTTAAGGCCAAAAATAGTTTCACTTAACGTTCACAACACTAACAATCGTATCTTATGAATCAATTACCTGAACCAAAGAACATAAAATGTTTAAAAAATAAACTTAAGAGTTGTATTTTCAATAATAATTTTCCAGTCCACCAGACCTTAACAATATTACAACTATAACTGGACAAATCATGAGAGGTTGTGAAAAATCATTTCAAATTAAACAAAATTCAGTCAAATAATTATCATTATTGGGCTAAGGTAAACAACATTAGGTATAATTAATTGTACGTGATTGCATATTTTTTTAATGTTAAAGGCTGTAAATTAGAAATGTTATGTATCTAAGAAATAAAATACTTTTCAGAGGGTTGTAAATGTATACAAACAAATTTTAACTCAAACTTCTCAGTAATTTCAAAATTATATATTAATTTATTATTCCTACTGACCAGCTTTAAACTTAATTACAAAAATCTACAAATTCTCTACCAAGGTATTGAACTTCATTTTTCAATTTTCTCTACATATTAACAAGCAATTAACTATACTTAAAAGTTAAAAAAAATGTTTTGCTATTCAACTAAATTATTCTTATACTATAATAACACTAATATATATTATATTATATTATTACACTAATAATTAAATTGTTAAACTTAAATCTCTTTTGGTATCCAACAGATGTTTAACATACCACAGGTTGTTATTAAAATTAAACCCACTTATTATTTATCTTTTTTAATAAATTAGTTTTTATACTACTGAGTTTGAGTATAATATTAAAATGTATTAAAATAAATGTTATGCATTTAACATTGTTTTATAGTTAATAGATTATGAAAAATTCTTAATTTAATTTAACTTACCTAAAACTAAAGATGTATCAATATTTCTTTTTTTTTAATTGTTATGATATCAAGTACAAATAATATAACTGATAACTGACATTGTACTTCATAAAATAATAATGAAATAATTGTATTGTATAGACATTATTTCTATATTTTTAACACTTTTCTTAAGTTTGGTTTCATTATATTTAAATATTGATATATCTTTATTCTGGTTTGATTTAATTATAATAAAATGCAGTGGTCAGGAGTAGAGAGCTAATTGTAGAAATGCTGTAGTAGTGCTACTTTGTTTGAAGCGATTGATATAGTGTTGTTACAATACACCTAATGTAGCAAAATACTTTAGCCGGCTAGAAATTTCCTGTTAAAGTAGCAAAGTAAATTATTTTGTCGCTACCTCCAACTTATTTGGTGATAGTATGATCATTATTATATTTATTTATATTAAAATAATGAGTGTATAAGCGATTTTTTTGGGTTTAATTCAAGATTAACTTGTGCAGTTAAATCCCGTCCAGTGATCAAATGTTAAATCAGTATACTAACTATAAACTACCAATTTTCAATTAAAACATTTAAAAAAAATGTAGCACAAAAGTAGTACTCTAACGCAATAACAATAGCGTTTAAAGGAAGCGCACTACATTTTTTGGGGGAGTAACTGTAGCGTTAGCATGCTACAAAAAAACCAGTAGCGTCCCGACCACTGATAAAATGTTTATGTAATAAGTGAATAAGATTTACTAACTTCATTCTAGGATCTTTCTTTGGTTTACCAATTCCTCCAATTATTCTTGGTGCATCTCGTATAGCAAAACTCTTAGCGTAATGACCAAGATGGCAATCTTTGAAGTTAAAAACTTCTCGACTAGTTTTTGGATAACTTGCATAAGATCTAACCCATGACTTGAAAGCTGTAATGCAAAATTAAATAGTAAATATTTCAGTATTTAATAATAGTGAAAATCTAATGAACATTTATGAATTATTATTTAATGTTACATGTTACTCAATGGTTTAAAATCCATTGAGTTATAATACTTAAGAGGACACTACCCATGCATTTATTATCTTAGTCTTCCACACAAATGACATGGCAAATTTTGTTTAGTTTTGATATTAGAGTGAATTGACCTAAAGTCAAACTTTTAAATTAGAGCATTAGCCATGATAAAGTGTCATTGATTTTTCAATATTTTAATTTTCAAGCATGATATGGGTATGTGAAATATCACAAATTAAAAATGCTCAAATCTCCCTTGAACATTAAAATATTGAATAAAAGCTGACACTTAAGCATGAATAATATTGTTACCTGAACGTTTGATGATGCGTTATAATATCAAAATTAACAGCAGACTAATGAAACATGTAAACAAAAATTGACTATGAAATATGTTTGTAAAACTAAGACAGCAAATGCATGGGCAGAGCTATAATATGTTCAAACTTATTAACACTGAAATAGTATGTGTATTTTCCAGATTGTATTTTAACTTGTGTGTTGATACAAAATATACAAGTCAAGTATTAAAATTATTATATTATGATCATCAGTAGTATATGCATGATTTCAGTTTGGTTAGGGTTCTACCTCATATTGATCATAGACAATGGGAGGGGGTTTCATCTCATTTACATAATTTTTTGCAAAACATTTTTTAAATAATTGTTTAAGATAAATTATAGGTTTGGTCTTGAATTTAATCTGCATTAAGAGTATTAAACTTAGTCATCTATAGAGACTTTTTTGGTCATAATAAATTATAAT